GGTTGGTTACGGCCAAGCTTTAGAAGGGAGTACTTTCTTGCTGTGTTTGCCTATAAACTCTTGGCCTCGGGTGAGCCTTCGTACTTGTTCGACTTACTCCCCCGATTTGCGGATGGGCTCCGTTGTTCAGCGCGTCGTGATCGGCCGACATTTATGATTCCCACTGCATCGCTATCGTCATACGCATCAGCCTTTTCGCAGAGACTTATGCGGTTGTGGGATACTATTCCACTAAGTATTAGGCAGGTTGATTCGCTGAACGTCTTTAAGACGACTCTTTACCGTTTTTATTTAGAAAAACAGGGGGACTGACTACTAAGCACGCTTATGTTTAAGATTGTAAGCTTTACTAAGTCATTATGGCAAGACTGAAAATATTTTGTTACGATTAATTATTACTTGTCTTTTTCAAATCTAGCGTATACTGTAAATGAAACTAAAATTAAGTGCGACCTAATGTAAATTAACGAATATATATATATATATAGATTGCTATGTTAAATTGTCGCCGTTCAAACTAAATCAAAATCTGTAAAAATTCTGTAACTTTTGTTTAATACTGTCGATAATATCAATATCAAAAATCGTTGCACTTAAAAAAATTGCCATTCGGGTGTAATGCCCTTGGCATAAATAAATTAGCTTTCAAATTAAATCAAATCAAATCCCCGGGAGGCCTCGAGACGCTGCTGGAAAGGGTGTCGGAGGTGGTGGGCGCAACCGGGCTGAGTTTTAGGCCTGAAAAGTGTGCGTCGCTGCATTTGAGCGGCAGAGGGTCGGCGCGGGCGCAGGACATGCATTTTCGGGTTCAGGAGGCGGAAATGCGAGCGCTGGGTGCAGGCGAGGCGTTAACGTACCTGGGCGCTCAGGTGGGATACAGGGTCAGTGAGACTCCGGTGTGCACGATCGACGACATGGTGCGGAACCTGCTTGCCGTGAACCGCTCCCTCCTTGCCCACTGGCAAAAGCTAGAGGTGGCGGCGTTCTTCATCCAGCCTCGGATGGATTCTTGTCTGAGGGGCTCGGCGGTGGCAAAGGGTCCTCTGACGGAGGTGGACGGAGTGCTTAAGAAGCTCGCCAAAGGGTGGATGCACCTCCCTCAAAGGGCAAGAACGGAGGTAATCTTTCTCCCCCCCTCGATGGGTGGGGGCGGGCTGATTCCGCTCGCGGGCATGGCTGACCTACTTACAATAGCCCATACCTATAAAATGCTGCATGCAGCCTACGCGTGGATAAGTGGGTTGGCGTGGTCTGCCCTGCTGGGGGCTGTTGAAATGAGAATAAAAAGAAGGGCGAGCGAACAGGATCTAGCTAAGTACCTGTCCGGCTCGCTCTACGGGGATTTGGCGCGACCGTCGAGTGACTGTGTGTCCTTGTGGTCGAGGACGCGAAACGCGGCACGCAGGCTGAGTGGGGCGCTTGGTGTGCGGTGGAGCTTGTCCCTTGAGCGCCTTGAAATGGCCTTGGAGTGCCGAAGTGCGAGAGGCAGAGTACTCGTCACGCCCCAGGCTGGGGCGCAGATTGTGCGCCGGCTCCGGGCCGTACTGGTGGAGCACTACAGGGGGCGTCTGCTTGCCAAAAAAGATCAGGGCAAGGTATACGAGGTAACGTCTCGCTCCTTAATGGCCAACTTTTTCTTGAGAAGTGCCAGCTTTACGCGCTTCGCAGAATGGTGATACATACACAGAGCCCCACTAAATGTGCTGCCACTCAATGCTGCAAAGAGGTGGTTGGATGTGGCGGATAAGCGTTGCAGGAGGTGCGGGGCGGGGCTGGAGACGCTCTGCCATGTGATCCAGCACTGCTGGCCGAACTCAGCGGCAATTGCGAGGCGACACAACAACATCCTTGATCGCCTCGCGAAGGCGACGCGCGCGCCTGGGGTGGTGTCGATAAACCGCCGGGTTAGGGGTGTTGACCGGGAGCGCCAGCAGTTGAGGCCTGACCTGGTGGTCAGGGACGAGACGCAGCGCAGGATCATCACCATCGACGTTGCTGTGCCCTTTGAAAACCGTCTGGGGGCCCTCCGTGAAGCTAGAGAAGAAGAAGTGCAAAAATATCAAGAGCTTGCGGAGGACCTTAGGTGGCAGGGGTACGCGGTCGAGGTGGAGGCTTTTCTGGTCAGTGCCCTGGGCACATGGTGTGGGTGAAACGAGCGGGTCCTGCGCCTATTGAAGATAGGTAAGCGATACGCCGGCCTCATGCGAAAGCTGATAGTCAGCGAGACGATTAGATGGTCCCGCGACATATACGTGGAGCACGTTTCGGGCGCGCGCCAGTACGGCGATCAGGGGGCAGACGTCGGTAGGATTGGGCCTGGCCCACAGAGCCAATAGAGTGTAGCGGGACGGGTGACGCGAGCTCGCTAGCGGCAAAAAGAAACAAATACTGGGCATCGAGGGTGCAAAGTAATTCTGTGCAGCCCCACTATTTTGTTTCCTTGTTTTTATATTTATTTGTATTCCTTTTACGTTTTTATCTGACATGTACTACCTGTGATATGATAACGCCAAAAAGCGGCAAAAGCTGATGTATATTTTTTAATCAAATTATTGTAAATGCATCTCGGCTATAGCGAGAAATGTTGAAATACTAAAGCGATGTGTATGTAAAAATATTTACAAACTGTTTTATATTTTTTCTACTTTTAATTGACTAGATATGTATACAACTAAAATGTAAAGAAGCAACATGAGCAAAGTGTAAGTGGCTCAACTCAATGTAAATATGAATATGACAATTTGATTAAGTACTACTAAAATTTGTGGAGTAACTGTGATTATAATAATATGACAATGCTATTAAACACTGACACAACAAACACATGTACCTGCCTTCAGGCAGGAAGTTGCTTGATTTAATAAATAAAATTGATCAATGCGCAAGGGCGAGTCATCGGTAAAACGCGTGTGAAAAAGCAATAACACCCACGCGAGTGTTAGTGGTGCCGAATTTGCGTGCAACACTTGATTAAGCTTATCAGCCAATGATCCTGCTGTAAATTAAATATAATAACCGCGTGAGTGCCCCGATGGCCGACGCAAACGAGCCGGGCGAAAAGGTCGCGGTCAACGAGACTCATACCACGTTCACCATCCTCCTTCCCATCAGGAAGCATGAGCCGCTCGAGTGCCCGCTGTGCGCGAATTATTTATACAGGGAGGTGCGAAGAGTGGAAAATTTCATGCGGCACGCGAAGCAACATCATGAAGGAATGACCGCAACCTACGAGTGCTAAAGGTGCAACTTTACCGTGCTGCCCAAAAAGAGCTACCCCTGGAAAATAGGGTCGGACCATTGCAAGTCCTGTGTTCCCGAGTTTTGAGGGGTGCGATCGGGCGCGGTAAATGTGGCAAGGTGAACAAATGTAGTGTGAGAGCTACTCCCTGAGCGCCAACAGCCCGCGCAGGAACAACAACAACGACGGGCACGTTCGCAAAGGCGGAGGCGGGATGCTGGTGCCAACTTGGCCCCCGAGCAGGCGCCGGCACCGGTGCCCAATCAACAGCAAAATGCCAACCTCGGCTCGGCTCAGGCTCCCGCAGTTGAGGAGCCATCGCCACCTATAAGGTGTAACGGGAGACCAGTGCGCGTCGGGTTGAGTGATGACTCGGTGAACAACGCAGATGGGGACATGGTGGCGGGCTCCGCTTTGCCCGAATGGACGCCGGACCGCGAAAACGCTTTGGCGGACACGTCGGGCAGATCGTCTTTTGCCACACCAACGGCAATTAGTCCGCTGAGGTACACCGAGAGCCAGCGGCAACAAGGAGAGACCCCAGGGAAATTGGAGGGCAACGAAAGTGGCATAAACAATAACATCGGCACAAGTGCTGGGCCCCCCCCAACCAACGGAGAACATCGAAAGAGCGCCGCAGCTACGAGAGGAAGAGAAGAGACACGCGCTTAACGGCAACGTCAACAATAACAGCGTCCCGCCCCGGCCGTTGGAAGGTAGAAGCGAGTGATTTCGTACGGTGAGACGCGCGACGCAACGGCCAGATGGAGCCAAACAGACAGCCGTCAAGGCCGAGCTCAATGCCACCCAGAGCGCTGATGGGCTTGAGGCCGTCATGTATCGAGTAAATGCATTTCTTGGCAAGTTCAGGCGAGAGACTCGAGCAAATGAGGGAGTGGTGGTGGCGCGTGGCTTTGCGGCCGCTCGGAATAGAGTGCAAAAAGCGAGAAAAATCCAACGCCCGTACCGCAGCAACAGAAAGAGGGCCATGCAATCCGTAATCGGGGGGTCCAACGAACGATGTGAGATTGGAGTCGCAGAGGTGGAGGACTACTTCCACTGACAGGCGGCTCGGCGAGAGGGTGGAGAGGCGTGGCCGAATGTGCTACACCAGGAGCCCTCCACTTGGGAGAGTGACGATGCTCTGTACACGCCTTATGAGGAAACCGAGGTCTTGGGCTACCGGCGTCGGCGCGAGAGTTTCGCGCCGGGCTCAAATAGAGTTGCGTATGACGACCTGAGGAGGGCGGACCTGGAGGCGAGCGTTCTTACGGCACTTTTCAATGTAGTGTGGAGGACTGAGATGGACCATACCATCTGGGGCACATCGAGCACTATCCTCTTGCACAAGAAGGGTGACAAGGGAGACATCAGAAATTGGAGGCCCACTTCCTTTGCGACACGGTTCCCAAATTGTTCGCGGCGGTGCTATCCGAGAGACTAAAGTGCTAGGGCAAGAACAACGCCCACTTTAGTCCAGAGCAAAAAGGCTTCCTCAGTTTTGAGGGCTGCTTCGAGCACAATTTTGTACTGGGGGAGCTAATTCGGGACGCAAAGCGCCGTGGCTAGGAGATGGTGGTGACGTGGCTGGATCTGCTCAGTGCCGTTAACTCAGTCCCACTTTCGTCCATCTTCTAAGCGCTGAAGAGACATGGCCTCCCGATTAAAGTGAGAAACACCATTAAGTCGCTGTACGCGGAATTATCTAAGGCCATGCGGGTTTACGGGTGGAACCACGGCCCCCATAAAAATCGAAGCGGGCATGCGTCAGGGCTGTCTACTGAGCCCGGACGTATTTAACCTGACCCTAGAGGTGATGCTGCGCACTATATTGGCAACAGGTAAGGGCTATATGCTGAAGGGTAGACGCTACAGCAGCCTGTTCTACGTGGACGATGGGGTACTGGTTGTGGGCTCACCAGCAGGGATGGAGAGGCAGTTGAGGGCAGCAGAGGAGAGTGCGGCGGCGATCGGCATTACCTTCAAGATCGGCAAGTGCGCCACATTGCACGTAGTCGGTGGGAGTAACGGGGGCGCTCAACCAAGCGTCTTCGAGTTGCAGGGTGCCCGTATGCCTGCGCTCGATTCCACCGATGCCTATGACCATTTGGGCATACCCACCGGTTACCAGGTGCGACAGACCCTGATCTCCAACATCAAAGACCTCATAGAGGACGCCGAAAAAGTCGGTGAGTCCCTGCTGGCGCCCTGGCAGAAGCTGGACGTGGTGGGGACCCTCCTGCTCCCGCACCTCGACTTTGCTGTGCAGGGGGCATCGGTTGAGAAGGAGTGCCTAAGGGTTGCTGACAGGGAGGTTCAGAGGCTAGCCAAGACCTGAATGGGCCTCCCTCAGCGTGCGAGTGCCGAGCTGGTGCATATCCCACAGAAATGAGGCGGCGGCAGGATCCTCCCGCTGGCGGATCCGTACGACCTGCTTACAGTGGCACATAGTTACCGAATGTTATACGCCGGAGACCCCACCGTGAGCGACCTAGCTATGGAGCTGCTGAGAGAGTCTGCTTTAAGGCGGCTGAGAGAGCAGGCAGATGAGAGAGGGATGGTCCACTTTTTATCGGGCGATCTTGAAATGCCGCCCTCCACCGAGGGGACCTCTTTCTGGGCCAGGGTGAGGCTCTCGACGTTCAGGATACGGTCAAAGTTGGGGCTTAGTTGGGAGTGGTACCCGGAGAAGAGGTAACTGGGCCTCAAGGTCACCGAGCGGACCGAGCCCCTGCTGCCAGAGGAAAGAAACAACGTGGTCCATGCCCTGTGGTTGAGGCTTGGCGAGTACTACGCGAGGGTATTAGTGGGCAAGAGGGACCAGGGCAAAGTGATTGAGGTGACGAGCAGAAGCGCGGTGTCAAATCATTTCTTCCGTACTGGCAGGAACACACGCTTCTGCAACTGGAGATTTATACACCGCACCCACCTCAATGTTCTGCCACTCAACGCTGCCGTTTGCGGGATTGCGGACCTCGACAAGAGGTGCAAGAAATGCGGGGTGGGGCTCGAGAGACTGCTGCATGTGTTGTGCCACTGTGGAGTCCATGCTGCGGTGAGGCAGCGTCGGCACAACAATCTGCAGGATCAACTGGTGAGAGCTGCACGCTGTACCAGGACGATTGCCGTCAATAGGGCCGTCGCGGGGGTGCGTGGACAAACGGTGGCGCTCCGGCCCGACATCGTCGTCCACGATGAGGCCGCTGGCCGGGTCAGCATCGTCGACGTGTTTGTCCCCTTCGAAAACAGGAGGGAGGCCCTTGGTCAAGCTCGCTGGGAAAAGCTAAACAAATATGAGCCTATTTTGGACGAGCTTACCGAGCAGGGCTGCCACGTCAAGGTAGAGGCCTGCATTGTCAGTGCGCTTGGTGCGTGGAGTGACCGCAATGAGATGGTCCTTGGCCTACTGAAGATCAGCAGATGGTACGCCGGAATGATGATACGTTTTATGGTGAGTGATACGATGTGGTGGTTGAGAGACATATATGTTGAGCACATGTCCGGTGCGTGCCAGTACGAGTAAACGAGGGCGTGACGGTGATTGTGTATAGGTGCACTATTAGCAACAAGAGCAAAGGCCAGAGCCCAATGTCATTGTGTTTACATTACAAACTTTTAAATAGCATGCTGCTTAAAAATAGCAGTCAAGGCCACATGCGATAAACTATTAGTATTGACAGTTAATGCGTGTGTCAAGTGTGATAAGTGAGTCCAGCAAAGAATGGGCATTGTGTCATATGCTGTGATATATTTATTGAAATTTAATTTGTTTTTTTTTTCCTTTTTTTTAAATTTCTAATAATGATAACAATGTTAAATGATAATAATAATAAAATTAAAAATAGTAATGACCAGGAAATAAATGGTAATGATTATGCCAGTATAAATAATGATGCTGACGAGAGTCAATATATCAATACTGCCAATAATGATAACAATGATGATGTTAATAATGATCATATTGATTATAAGATTAATGATGACAATGCTCACAATAAAGACGATGTATTGAATAGGTATTATAGTCATAATTAGAATGATGGTGATAATAACTATTATAATGATGATGGTAATGTTGACAGTGATAAAGTTAATAATTACAGTGACAATGAGGATGTTAGAAATGATTATCTCAATTATAATAAAAGTTAAAATAATGATAAAAAGCATGATCGTAACAACAATAATTTGAATACTACCAATAATAATGACAGAAAAGGTCTTTATAATTATTAGAATAATGAGAATGATAATCATTATAATAATTATTATGTTTACAATGCAAACAACAATAAAAAGCATAATCATTTAAAATATAAAATGCATAATAAAAATAATAATTATCATTATAAGGATAATAATACACACATAAGTAAAACAAGCGTTATAAGAATCATTATAATAAAAACGATAATGACGGTCATAACGATAATAGTAATCATAGTAATAACAATAATATAAACGATAATAATTATTTTGATAATAATTGTATTAATAACAATAAGACTTTTGAAAACTGAAATAATAATAATAGTCATTATTATAACAATAATAATGGTAATGATAATAGTGGAAATCTTAATAGTAAAAATAATAATGGCAATAATTATAATCAAGACAATAACATTATTATTAAAAATAACCATAATTATGATGATGATAATGACGATGACGATGAGAAAAATGACGAAGATGGTAATAAAGATGATAATATTTATAGATAATATTAATCACTATAATTTAAATGACAAAAAATGTTATAATTATAATAAAAAACTTAGGATACTGATGATAATTATAACTATGCTCTCTAAGAGAAAAAAGATGTGAATAATAATAATAATGACAATGATGTTGATAATGGTGATGATGGAGATGGTAACAATGACGATGATAGTGGTAATGATTTTGATAATGAATATGACCGTGATAATGATAATGACAACAAAGATGATTGTTATGATAAATATAATACTTACAATAATAATGACGGTAATGATAATGATAATACCGATAATGACGATTATGATGTACATAGTATTATGAACTATATTGATCACGATATAGTTGGCAATAAATATCATGACGGTGCTGGCAATGATAAAAAGAATTATGATAATAAAGCAGTTATGACTAAAATGACAGTAACAATGATGATGGCATACTGGTAATTACAATGAAAAAAATGGTAGAAGTACTAATTATAATAATCATGATAATAACGATGATTATAATGGAATTTGATGATGTTTATGATGGTAATGATAATTAGGATAAAGCTGATAATGGTAATGAAGATCATGATGATGATGATGATAATAATAACGTTTATGAAAAAAGTCTAATTAATTTGATCTCAAGTATATTATATGATAAGTATGTAACTATACTTATCATAAATATTCTCAAGGTCACTAAATCTAATCCCGTGGTCTATTTAGCATTAATGCTTTAGATGTGTATATAATTATAAATATTAAGTCTACAAACTGTAATTATCTCTACAGTCTCTTATTTCTCAATAATTAAAAAAAAACCAGTCATTATTTTGTCTTAAATTTTTTATTTTATGAGTCATACAACTCCTTATTTTGGAAACCCATTGAGTAAAGAAATTATTATGAATTATATTTCTTTTAAAACTTACAACTCTTAAAATCACTTAACATCAAAACCAATATATATAAAGAATCGTTACAACAAGACTTTCAAACGTAATGACCATGAGCTGCGCGAGTCTTCAATTCATAAAAATTATGTTGTAACAAGATCGACAGAACATTACAAACTATTACATTATAAAGTACAGTAATATTAAAATTAGATTATTTCGTTTCTTATTAACTCTTAAAGTGCATAACATCATATACATAAGCCTTAGACGCCATTTATTCGAAAAATTTTTGCAGTACTGTCAGATTTAAAGTACATCATGACTTATCTCTTTGTAAGACTCCAGTCCCTCTCAACCAAATAAGCTTATGGCCGTGAGTCGCGTACAATAGATCACTACGAAAGAACACTGTTTCAAATAGGTTCTGATGTATTGTGAAAAGTAAATAACACTATTTACAGCTATTTCTTCGTGCGTCTGCATCCAGGGCACCTCCTCACGGTGGTGGCGATCAACGGACTATGCCCGTTATCCGGCTGAGTCCCTGGATCATGGCTTTGATGTTGTCATGGCAGGTGCACGTAAGCGTTCTACGATGCAGAGGGTTGGATCCTCAGTATCGATGGCTGGTCAGCGTTAGCAAGTGGTCCCGCAGACGTCATTCAGAACCAAAACCATTTCAATTCGCCAACATACACATATTGATGCTGACAAACAAAACTTGTTTTGTTATGTTTGTGGCAGGTATCAGCCACACACGCCAAAAATAAAACAAGTATTAAGTATTCTAATACATGTTAAATCGTTCCTGCAATTAAGATTCAAAGACACCCTGTTCGCCCAATAGGAACGGGCATAAATAGAGACCGTGAGGACATAAGTGACGGTGAGATAGATTCTGAAGAATCTTATACTATTGAGACTGATTCTCAAAAATCATACATGAAAGTTGATAAGCTCGGGATGAAAAAATTAAGTGATTTGGGCAGAGAATTAGGATTATTAATGGAGGCCCACGAACTACTAGCGTCAAGGCTGGAGGACAAAAATATCTTGCAGAAAGGTACGAAAACATTATTTTATAGAAATAGAGAGAAAAATCTTAGACATTATTTAGTCAAGATAAATCATATAACTTAGTGTATTGTAATAACATTTTTAGACTTATAAACTCTTTTAAAGTTAATGTGTACAAGCTAAGCGACCCAATCAGAAAGAATTGGTCGGCAAACGTTCGGGCCGTCAACGGTTGCCACACAGCCATCTGCGGGCCAAGTGTGGTAGCCGATTCGGATCCAATTCGGGTTGTGCGCAAATTTGACACGTGGCTTGACAGTAGGCAGCCAAACATTCGGTAGCTGAAGTAGGCCCGAAGACTGCCCAAACGCAGTGTGCCAAGAGAAGTAGTGTACTATCTATAGATGAAAACACACTATAACTGGACCGATAAAAAATCTTCTAAATCTCAAAATTGATTTCCAAAGAAATATTTGAGATATTGTACGTAATCAAACTCGTAGATTACGGAAAAAATAGTTACACTCGTCAAAACTCTGTTAAACACCCTTAAAATAGTGTTTAAAGTTTATTTCGTAAATATCTCGTAAGCTGTACAAAATAGGATAAAAATAAAAATACTATCGCGTAGAGTGAAAAATTTTCTATCAATTTAGTCTTTAACTTGTGTTTGGACCAGCACAAAATTTTGAGATAAAAATTAACAA